TTCCCTTAGATAGAAGCTCTACCAGGCTTCAGCTAGATTATGTTCTTTGTCATTCATCCTTACTCTTGCTACCAGTTCACGTCTCCATATTTGTAGTATATTAGTTTTATTTCCAAATAAGTTAAGAATTTAACACAATATGCTGAGGAAGTGCACTGATGTAAAGACTACTTTTTTTTTTTTGCCTCCCTGCATGATTATCTAAAATTTAATTTATTTTGAGGACAATAACCTAGAATCAAATCTTTTTCTAGAGGAAAAACACCACATTGATTTGCAATCTGAAATGCTCATAACAAAAGCTGACTTCTGTAGTAGGCTACCTGTTCTCTCAAGGCATATTTGCAAAAATAGTTTATTTTCTTTTTACCGCAAACTTCTTGTTACATCTTGTCTTGCTAAGGCTAGTCTAGATCCTAGGCCCAGAGGGAGAAATAGGCATGTTTTGAACATCAAAATTACTGCAAAGCTCTTAGCTTGGCCCAGAGGTCTGTCTTTTAAATGAAAAGGTTCCCAATATTGCCAAGTACACTTCAGCCAACCTTGCTAATTTTCTGGCAACAGCTGTTCTGTCCTCTGGGCTACTGTCAATCTCTGATTTATTCAGATTCTGTCCTTGCAGGTTAAGACAAATAATACCAACAAGGCTAAAAGATTAGATTGCTCTTTGTTGTTGATCCAAGCTTCTTCCAAGTTCTGTCTTGCCTAATTGCCTGCTGTGACTAATGGTTCTGTGCTTTTTCCAATTCTGCTTCTTTCATTATTGGTTCCAATGAGTTCTTGAACTTTTTCCCCTCCTGGCCCTTATTTCAGATTTTGCAAGGCACGTCTCAGATGGTTTCATCTTTGTAGCAGAAGCTACCTTGATCAGCAGCAAGTAATGTGGCCTAGATCTACAGAGGAAATCAGTTAGGCAGACAGTGCTGATGTTCCTCATGTTCGAGGGGTAAGGTCCCCCCTGTGAGAATCCAGATAGAATTCCTTTATGCATAGGAACTCATTTACAACTTTGGCTTGAACCTGAATTACCAGTGCTAGCTCCTTTTTATCCCAGGTTTTTGGTACCCAGAAATTCATCTGAAGAAACCTAGAAACAGTAACAATCAACCATATATGCTTTTGAGCCTAATCTTGATGTATTAAGCTTTTGTTTTCTTTTCAAAGCCTCATCTTGTCTTTTCTTACAAAATAAGCTGACGTTTTTACAGGTCCAGATGACTCCTATTTTGTCTGGAAGAAGAACGGACAAAAGATGAAGACATGCATCACTGAGCAATCTCACATGCTGTTTGATAGCAGAGTGCATGTTCTGAGTTGGGTGAAAGATTCAGTATCAGAAAACACAGAATATAAATGTTCATTCATCTCAAAACTTGGGAACACAACATCAGAAGTGCTCATCACAGTCAAAGATAAAGGTAGGCTGGTTTTGAATGTATGCCATGTTTGGCCTGACATGAGTAAAACCTATGTAATTTTCACCCATAAAATATATGTGCATCTATCTGAAGATGGTAACTCTTGCTTACTGTATTAGTATCCACTTCCAATTGTTTATGAAAAGGTTTTAGAGCCATAAAAATACCTTCCTCTACCCCTTTCCACAAAGGACTAACCTGCAAATTAGCAGTTATGATCTAGAAATGAAACCAAAACTGCTAAACTAATGGACACAAATTGGAAGTCAGATTAATACCAGCGTGTTAAAAATAGGTACTGTGCCAGAAATCTACAGGGTAATGTAGAAAAATTCTTTAATGCCAAGAGAAACCCTCACCACTCAGAATTTTTAAAAATCAAGATGATCTGTAAACCACCTGTAGTTGGTGAGGACAGTTCCTGCCTCTTAATTTGACACTAACTGGGCAGGAGGACAGTTTGCTAACTTCAGCAGCTATGGAAGATCTTCAGGTGCCCACAACTGACTGATGCAACTTCAGTATCACTTGCAACTAGCTTTTGAGAACTTATCCAGGCCTGAAGAAGGTCTGGATAGTCTTTAGCAGGAGCAATGAAAATTGATCTAGTATGGATTTTCTTGGCAGGCTGAAGGAAGTATTAATTAGCTGGTTCATAAGAAACATAAATCTGTCAAGAACAGCTCAACCCTTTTTTTTTTTTTTTTTTCCCAGTGACAGAGAAAAGCCTTAAGAGTTACACAAGTTGTCTTGCCATCACCCTAGTTACTCTGAAATCTGTGGTGGAAGCAGAATGAAGAGCATCTCAGTGAAACTACTGTAAATACAAAACAGAGGGAGGCTTTCACTGTGCTCCAAAAGCATTATATACTGTTGCTAGTGTCCCAAAGGATAAATAGAAAATACTACATCCATGTGTGCCACCACCAGTGTCACATTCTGTAAGACAAATTGGCAGACATAACTAGAATTTTATCAAGATTCAGTAAAATAGCCCTTCTTAAAGAGTTCCCAATGGAATGAAAAATAACGTTAAGTACGTAACATTACCGAAAAATGGGGAAATTACAAACTGGACATAGCTGTATCACATCATTCTTCTTCCCAGGCTTGGTGTGATCTAACTGGAGCATTCCTGTGATTCTTAGATGAGTTCGAGCTCTTAACTCATAGGTCATATTTTCTAGACCTCAAATCACAGATAGAGGCATTGAATCTGTTTACTCTGGAGGCTACAAAGTTTGCTGCAGAGGGGAAGAGACATGACCATTTGAACAGAGCTCATTTCCAAATAACTTAAGAGGAGGTAGAGCAAAATGAAGGACAAGGCTTTTAGTCCTCCTAGCCCCACCCTCCACAGGAAGTCCTGCACCTGAGCAGATCTCAACTTACTTTATCATTATGTAGTTATGTAATCATGCCATGTACAATTTTCAGATTGTGCTGGTCAGGATGGATGGACCAAAGAATTTGATACCTGGAGAAGTGCCATCAGTGAACATGACAAGATGATGCAAAACTGGAAGAAAACATGGGTAAGAACTTTTGGAAGAGGTATCTCCTATGCTCCCAATTTTATAAATAGCCTATGATGCTTCTGCAACTGAACGTATTTCTATAACAATGTGATCAGTGTTCCTGTACACATTGTCATTCTTGACCCTCTCATTAGTAAAATCTGCTTGATCTATGACATACGTTACGGTTACGTCAGCTTGCTCCTTCAGTCCACTGACCAAGTGCTAATCAGTCAGTAGTTCTCATCTTGCCCAAAAGAGTATGTGCATACTGAATATAGTAGATTAATTTCATTACATCTGTAGACTAGTTGGATTGCAGAGACTACTGGACTTCATAAATGGTACTGCCCATCGAAGCTGGCCTTCCTTTAAAGAAAATAGCCCATACTTAGCTTTTAAGGTTTCTCTCCAACAGTTAGATGAAAGATTACTTTTGGTAACTTCTGGATGCAGCACATGGTTGCTGCATGTTGAACAGTGCCACACCCCATTTAAACCCCATTTTAATTTTGAAAGCAATATTAACAAATAATTCTGAACTTTTTCTTCTTCAGGAAACCTGCAACAAGCAAAACAGCCTTTAATGGAGTAAGGAACAAACAGGCTAAAAGGAGAAATGTATGCAAGGTAGAGTACCCAGTACTCTTAATATCATAGCACTCAAAGACGTATTTGTGAGTGCTAGTGCTGGCACTGAAATTGATATTGAGGAGAATCACCTGAAGCTTGAGGTGAAAGAGGACATCCTTACTGCACCAAAGAATAACTAAGTTACATGCTACAAGAAAGACTACCCATCCCATGCTGGAACTATTGCTGGTTTTCTGCTGCCAGTTATTTCAGCTAATGAAGAACAAAAGTCATCTCAGTAATGCTTGCGCTGCTCAAACAATATAATATAATGTATGGCTTCTGTTTGATTTCATTAAGCAAACTAGTTAATTTTGGGCTTCAGGATCTTGGCATATGATTTAGAGAGATTAATATTAAGATGTGGATCACATTTATTTAAAGGCACTTCAACTTGCCCATTTATTTTAATACGTTTACCCTTATACTCTGTTCCCAGTGTTTTGAAGAGCATTCCTTTCTGGTGTCAGCAAGTTCATTGTTCAGACACATTTCCTTTGGTAATAAAGTTTCTGTACTTAAATAAAGAACTTTTGACTAATGCTCAAAAATACAGATAGATTAAGTTAAAGCAGACTCTTTAGCTTTTGCAAATTATTCTTCTGTATATTCTTCTGAGGTAACTGTGGTAGCTTTAAAAAATTCTATTTTGAATGAATTCTAAGACTATTCCTCGTGAACAACTGCAGATGGAAAAGCTGAGGACCTACTTAATCCACAGTAGAACTGCTTTACTGCATTGCTGTTCAGACTTTTGTCCTTCTGCATCTAATAAACAAAAGTCTGAGGCGTAATTCAGGTTTTCTGTCTTACCTTCTCAACAATCCAGAAGCAAGTAAGATGCACCTAAGAATCACTATAGCTTGAGTCCATAGGGTCAGCTGCTCCTAGCAATAGCAGAAAGCTTCATACTTTTCCCTAGGTTAACTCCTAACAGTTAAGATTTAAATTAGATTGTTTCCCACATTGAAGAAAGCATTCTCCTCATTCTAAGACTTTCCTGAATTTCCCTTTTTCCCCTTTTTTTTTTCCGCGCTTCCTTCCCTCCCTTCCCCCCCCCCCCTTCCTTCCTTTTTTTCTCATCACAGATGCAGGGTGAAAATTCTTATACAGAAACCACCTTCCCCATTTTTCACACTGGCAATTATAAATCAATGCTGATGCAGACTTCTGACACCAACAGAGGGAATTTTTTCCCCATTGCATTTCTTATGACGCCTTTTATGGCTAAGAGACAACTATAAGAAGACTTTTCTTGAATTGTCCCTCCTCTATTTCTTAAACAGATTTGGAGCAGACTTTAGTTCCAATGTGCTGAGTGGGAAGGTAAGGCTTTGTAAGACTGAGGTCAGAGTTTTGGATGAGCATAGTTGGGCTTTGCCTTGTCTCTGCAGTGAAATACTGCAAGGAGTAAAAAAAGATTGCCAGATTTAGCTCAACTTTGTGAAAAAACATATCTGTGTAACAATTCACGGACACAGCCATGACCCCTTACAGGGAATATTTTTGCTACATTCTAAGGACAGGAAATAACTCCCTAAGATTTTGAACCACCTGTAATATTTCCAAAGCAACTTTTCATGCTCTTCTACGGCAAGACAAAATAGAAAATATTGTCAAAAAAAAAGCTGTTTACGTGATCTTCACCAACTGGTCCCCATTCCATGCAGTAACTAGGTTTAGCAGTTTCAGGTGTGTATGAAGTGGCACAAGTATGAATACATCACAACTTACCTCTGGATCAAGGATATCTGCTGGCCTAAACCATCTTTCATCACTGGGGTCTTTCACCTTCAATTTCCATTTAAGATTAAAACAAACTAATACAGAAAGATCATCATCGTAACTAGTGACCAACTGCACATTTCAGCTTAAGGCTAGCTTCCCTTATGAACATTTGTCCACGAAACTGACACTTCAGGTATCATTAAATGCCCACCAGAAGAGTACACTTAAGTCACAACCATACTTTATAGAATCAATATATTGTAACAGATTTTATACAATTTACATTCTACAAAATTGTTTGAATTTCAAAATTATTTGAAGTTTTTATAGCACTTCTAACTTCACAAGGCAGCTACTTTCCAAAGTATTGCACTACAGATGTTCAGTGTGGTGAAGCACTTACAGTCACCCTTCAGAGATGCTGGCAGCAGCACATGGCATCTGTATCATCTTTCAGAACAGCTGACAGAAGTTACATGTGCATCCTCCAATTACTTTCTTTAGGGTTGTCCTCTCTGTCTGCAACTTGCAAACAACAGTATTTATATAGGACATTCCTACTAAGGTGCTCCACCACAATTATGAGCACATTTTGGTTTTAAAATTTTATTTTCTATAAGATACAAATTCTATTTCCTATAAGATACAAATTTTCCCTACTTTAGATAGATACAAACTGAGATTGATCGAAAACTCTTATGTATATATACCAACACAACCCCAAACAGAAGGAATGAGGAGTCTTGTTGGCATGGGGAAGGTACAGATAGGATAGCAGGCTGGCACATTTGCTGTCCTTCAATATCCTCTAACTTCAAAGGAGGACCTACAATAAACTAGTCTCAGTAGCAGCAGAAACATCATTGTTGTACCCTTAATTAATTTTATAAAATTTCTAAACAGAGCATTTTCGCTTCAGGAATTTCAGACCTTTGTAGTCCATGTTCTCTCCTTTACACCTGCTGTATGACCCCAGAAAAACAAAGTATCACAGAGAAGAGCTTCCTTAATTAGCTTCAATCAAGCTGCCAGCCCAAAATTAATTTCTTGCTGACTGGAAGAAAGTGATATTGATGCCAGCCTGCCCACTTGAGCGGGTTTATTTAGAAAAAAAAACTAAAACCAAACCCACAATCAAAAAAAGCTGAAGTTCTTTAAACGAGTTAAACTCCCTGCAAGCCCCAACCTTCTGGCTCATGGAATCTCTTCCCAAATAAATTTATCCTTCTAGCAAGTTTTTTTGCTATATTGTACCACTAACAAATCAATGCTAGTCCATAAAACTACTAAAATATGCCAGGCCAGTTCAAGTAGTTCGGGGCTAAGAGAATTTGCTGTTGTCATCTGCTATAATACTCAGCCAAATACATTGAACGTAAAAGCATTAGCTAGTGCCTCATATGCTCCAGTGTGTATTTTGCTTAAAGGGATTCAGAACAGTTTACTTAGCTGACATCAGATATTTCTTAAATTATTTTGTTTTGCTATGCTCTTCCTAGGGTTCTAAAAGAAAAAAAAAACAAAACAGAAAAACAATTAAAAGCCCAATAGAATTGGATCCGGATTTACTGACGGTCTTCCAAATTCACTATTGCCATGTCAGCAGCGGCCCTCTTTTCCAGTTCCAGTGCATATGGGTTATATTCCTCTTCAAGTTTTCTCTTCCAGATTTTAACTAGGGAATATTAGAATAAAAAAAACACCAAAGCAAACAAAAAGGTTACTGTATAATACTTGAGGAAAAACTTAAAATGAAAAGTCACACTGATTCTCTACTTCCTCCTCAAAGTAAGTGCTGGGATTAAGTTGGCATGTGGGCATGTACACCACACAACATCAGATGACACATGAATGAATACTTAGGAGTGATGGGATCCACTGAGGTCCTTGTGTCCAGCCCCCTGCTCAGGCAAGGCTAACTCTGAAGCTGGATCCAACTTTAGAAAAAGTCAGAATTCTGTTTTCAAAACTTCCAAACAAGTTTCAAGTTGCCTAGTATCTGTGGTAACTTGTTGTCTGGTGACTGTATGAGCAGAGATGGAGGAATGTGTTTCTAGAAGTGGAAGGGCTTTTCAAAACATGAACACTTTTGGACAGGAAGATGCATCTCAAACAGGCTTCAATACAAAACTTAAGTCCACCATAGTTATAGAGTATACACTTCTAGAACAAAACTTAAGAGAATTTTTTAACAAACAGAAATAATAAGGAGCTCTGTTAAACCTCCTCGGACAAAGCAATGAGCATCACCTGCCACGAGTGGATTTTAGAGGGAATTTTCTCTAAGACTTTCTCAGCAAGGTCTGACCTCAGGTTTATGAAGTTATGAGGGCAGGGGAAAAATCACAGAAAAGCAAAATTTAAAACAGAATCACAGAATGGTTGGGGTTGGAAAGGACTTCTGGAAATCATCTAGTCCAACAGCCCTGCCAAAGCAGGTTCACCTACAGCAAGTTGCACGGAAACGTCTCCAGGTGCATTTTGAATATCTCCAGAGAAGGAGATTCCACAACCTCTGTGCTCTGTCACCCTCAAAGTACAGAAGTTTTTCCTCATGTTTAGATGGAACTTCCTGAGTTTCAGCTGGTGCCCGTTGCCCCTTAACCTGTCGCTGGGCACCACTGAAAAGTCTGGCCCCATCCTCTTGACACCCACCTTTGAGGTATTAGCACTGGTAAGATCCCCTCTCAGTCTTTTCTCCAGGTTGAACAGACCCAACTCTCTCAGCCTTTCCTCATAAGGGAGATGCTCCAGTCCCCTCATCATCTTCATTGCCCTCTGCTGGAGTCTCTCCAGTAGTTCTTTGTCTTTCTTGAACCAGGGAGGGGAGCCCAGAACTGGACACAGTACTCCAGATGTGGCCTCACCAGGGCAGAGTAGAGGGGGAGGATAACCTCCCTTGACCTGCTGGCCACACTCTTCCTAATGCACCTCAAGATACCATTGGCCTTCTCGGCCACGGGGGCACGTTGCCAGCTCATGGTCAACTTATTGTCCACCAGGACTCCCAGGTCGTTCTCCACTGAGTTGTTTTCCAGCAGGTCAACCCCCAGCCTCTACTGGTGCATGGGGTTATTCTTCCCTAGGTGCAGGACCCTACACTTGCCTTTGTTGAACCTTCATTAGGTTCCTCTCTGCCCAACTCTCCAACCTGGCCAGGTCTCGCTGAATGGCAGCGCAGACTTGCAGTGTATCAGCATCCCCTTACTAACCACTAAAGTGTCAAGTGCCATTTTTTTCAGTGAAAATTGTAGGACTGAAGAGCACTTTGAATGAAAACTGAACCAAAACCAAGTTGGTAAATACTCACTATAATTCGGTACATCCTCATCAGAGCTCTTGGGAGATGTTTTACCAGTTTCTGATAAGCCATTCTTTTCATATTCAGTGGTTGAGATGCTGGCTTGGGTTTCTTTTAGTCCTCCTTCAGCTTCTTCCTCTAAAGCTGCTATCATATCTTTGTAGGCCTTCCTGGCCTCTGTTGTCAGTTGTACCATTCTATGAAAATGGTCCTATGGAAATATAAAGAATTAGTAAAGCTTAAATCGTACAGTAAGTTTTAACATCTCCATGAAAATCTGTAACAAATATTCCTTATTCAGAACATATATGTTCATATATAAAAGTTGAGTAGCTAAGTATGTATAAAGACATGAAAAACAAACCATTTATAAGCATTTTTATAAAAACACCAACTCTGCCAAAAAAAAAAATTTTGGAAAGAGATCTAGATGCAGATGATGTCATGAAGAGACAGCTAAACTACTTTTTTGGCTGTGGTGAACAGAGCTGACTGAATGTACTTCTAAAATCAAATTTTCATATAAGCCATTGACCTAGAATAGAGTGTAAGTGTGCAAAAGCAAAACAAACAAACAAAACCTTAAAGTCAGAGTATTTTTTTTCCTTACAGGTAAAAAGTAAAGCTAATCAAAAATATGAACCTACATATTTCAGCTTACCTGAGCCCCATCATAGCTAAAAATTCCCACCACACTCACAGGCACTGCTTTGTTCACACAGCGGCCTAGGGCCTTGCGATTAAGGGCAAAAACAAACGGGATATTCTGTTCACAGGCACAGTCGATAATGTTGTGTAGAGTCTCATCCAACCCACCTGGAGCAAACAACAGAATTAGCAAAGAATGATGCTATTCAAGCTGATTGTAACTAAAGGACAGTACAGTTAAAAGATTGCAAAGAATACCCCAAGATTATGGCCGCATTTTGAAGTTACAAAAGTTTATAGGAAAAAATACATGGATCTCAATAATAGCATTAGACCTCCATTTTTAAAGCAGGATTTGACATTTTTTCTTAATGCTTAATGAGCAGTATCTTTAGACTGCTGCTGTTCTGTATTTTGTTGTACATGTAGTATAGTCTAATCTAGTATCAAAAAAAAAAAGACCCAGCTGTTAATAAATTATTTAAAAGTTAATAGAAAGTAATGATAATAATTACAACAAATTTTAAACAAACTATTGCTGACAACTTATTGTCAACCTGTGGCCTAAAAGAGACTGATACAGCAGGACCTCTTGTGGCACAACTGGCATCAGTAACCTTTGTCTCTTCTGCTGTGTCACTGCAATCTTTTGTGCAGCTGCACTGCAAACATTAACTAAACGGATCCTAGTTTGAGATAACTTCCCCCACCCCAGATAGTCTTGACTCAGCTCACACTTCAGCTGCACAGCAGAAAACAATCTGGAGAAGGAACGCATCTTTATATGACTGGACTTCAAAGGCTACTCAAATAAGTTCCTCCAGTAATAACAGAGCTGCCACTACATAGAGTGTCCTTTTTTACATTTTTTTTTTATTAAAGAAATATTTTTTTTTTAACTTATTTACCCTTTGACTGAATCTTTTCACAGTTAGGAGAGATGATGACACACTTCAGTTTTTTCAGCTTCAGATGTTTCAAAACTTCTCTAAGACCCATAACAAGCCTGCGTTTTATCTTGGCCTTTACTGGGTCTTTCTGATACAAGCGATCTTGGAAACGAACCAGTTCTTTTAAGAGATCTGTCACACAACTGTCAACTTCTTTGCTAAGTACCTGGCTGCAATAACTGGAAGAAAGAAAAACCTTAAAATTACAAATATGTAAAACATGAGTATATAATATGTAAAATATAAACAGTTTACCTTCTATTCTATTCTATGTCTGTCTTTTTTCCTGTTTCCACTCCAAACACAGCTGTTATACACATGAAAACAAAAATTTACTTAAGATTTTTTTTCAGTGGCTGAGAACTTATAGAAAGTTTTGTTACTTGTGATATCTGGCTTCCCTATCAAAGTATACTAAAAATAGATACACACATGTACAATAAACATATATATATATTTTATACCAATAAATATAGATGTATGTATGTTTTTCTAGTGAAGCATTTTTCTGAGGGCATTTATTTTGATGCACATAAGTCAAAGTACAGCAACCAAAGTAAAAAATTCTAACTTACTTCTACAAATACAAGGCTAATTATAACAAAGATGGAAATCTGGATCAAATTCCTCCCCTCTAGGTTCACATTTTCTGTCTGTCATCCTATTTCACTTATCAGACTACAGACTTGTGGCATTCATAAGGGAAGGATAAAAATGGATGTACTTTGTCCATCTAGTATTCCCTGGGAAAGATAAAGGTTCCAAATTATCCTCCCCCCACCCCCATCTTTTACACAAAGAATCGTTCAGTAAAGAAGGGCCTCAAAGAGAAAAACTAAAGATATCTCAACTGCACAGTCAACAGAAAGATGGAAATTCACGTAAGATTACGAGAAGAGATCACGAGATCTATCCTGGATCTTAGAGATACAATTATCTCAAAATTTTATTTAAGTCACAAGAGTTTTTATTTACTATTCCCTGTTGATTTCACTAAGTCTCAAAGACAACTCTACTAAAACACTGAAAATCTAAAGACACAAAATAGTTTAAGCTTTGCCCAATGCTCTACATCCTATAATAGGCAGGATTGAGTTGCTCTGTACATATTCAACCCAAACTGTGCTCTCAGCAAAACACTGTTGCATAGACACAAATTAAGTAATTTTTAATGCAATTAAAAGTTAAATTAGAGCTAATATATGGCATCAGGAAGAATGGCTGTATCAATATTAACTGTTACTATAACATGAACTGCAAAAAGGTCAGTGGTGCCTTTATGGAATGAAAACTACAAGCTGAAACACTGTTTACCTAAAATAACTGTTTTGAACTGTCATGACTGGATCTCTGACCTCTTCACATATAGTAATGACTATTTCTTTTTTTATAAGGAAACATGTATACACATCTGTTTAAAAAAAACTAAGCGTGTTTGCACATAACAACTCATAAATCTTCCCTTTATTTCTCTGACAAGCCACAACATGAAAATGTCATCTGGTTAGTCACATTATTTACATTTTTGCCATTTGGTCTGGTAGCAGAAAACCAAAGTACACACTAAAAATAAGTAAAATATACTACTCTTTCTCTTAAATATTAAGCTGGTACTCCATTTATTTAAAATAAGGTACTTATACTTTAATGGCAGGTCCTTTTCCTTCCCTAGCCTCTAATGATTTTCTGGTCTTTTTTTTCCTTCAAGGAACATGCATTTTGAAGTGAGAATTACAACAATGTACAGACTATTTCTCTGCATATAACTTCTTTGTTTGTGTGTCCGCTTACAGAAAAACTGGAAAAAAAAAAAAGTAGAAGCTTCAGTCTAAACTCCAATTAGCATTGCACAGAATGTAACTGAAGTACCTAGTTTGAAAAATGCCCTATCAGCGGTACTGTGGAAAACCAGCCATCAATACAATCAGTACTTACTCTCTAAAATTCCTACTATGGATTTTTGGAAGATTGGAGGTTAGCTGCTTTGAAGTCATAGAACCTTCCGTAGATTCCTTGATCCCTGTGCTCTCCAGAAACCCTTCAGTGACTTGCATTACAGGAACAGCTATCATGTCAATAAAGATATTTCAATGAAAAGACAGATCAAAAAGCATTGTGAAGAGACTAACTTGTCAAGTATCTCTTGAAGAGTCATTACTTCAGTATTACAACAGCCTGTGGTAGTAGGGGAAGAGGTCATACATTTTTTTCTCTGAGTTTTTATTATTTTACCTCTTTTTAAACAGATTGCCAGAGATGCAGGGACTCTCATTACGATACATAACAAATCCAAAAGGCATAGAAGTGTGGAACAGTAATCCCAATTACTCAACTACACTGACTATCAGCTTTGGTAGACTTTAAACTCTAGATAAGCCGAAGTTGAATCTTAGAAAATTCTGAGGTTACAGTTTTCATTTGGCAGTATTTGGCACATATTTTTGAAAGGACTAACTGTGCTCACTCTCCAATCTCCATTTACATATTGTATTATAGGCTTCTTTTGAAAGATACCTGCTTGACTATCCTGTGGAAGCGTTTCATCTTCAGTAATATTTTCTGCAGACAGACAAATATTATCTTCATCTTTTGGTACTGCTCTCTGTTCTAACAGATGTTGCTGTTTTCGTTGTTCTCTTTCTTTCAAAATAATCTAAAAAAACCCAAAATATAAACCAAATTATTCTATGTCACATAGATAATAAAGCAGTTTCTCTTGTGAAGTGTTTACATACAGACTACTCAAAGAAGTTTGGCACTATCATTCAAAGTTTACAGCATTCAGGATTTTTTAAATTTGCACATAAAAAGAGAGATACTCCCTAAATCTACACAGAACAGGACTTTTTTCCTTGATTCCCAATGTCTTGGTGGAGAAAATAATTACTAGGGATCAACTACAAGTGCAGAACTAAAGTTAAAGTGACAAATTCCTTCAATGCAGAGAAGCAGGTGAAAAAGTCTCCCTTTGCCTTTCTGTTTCAGACTCAATTTGCAGCAATTCAGCCAAACATTCAAGTGTGTGTATATATAATATGTATGCACAGTTACTCTTCCCCCTTATTCCCCTGTTAAAAATCTTGAGTCAGTCTAATAGATCACTGTCTTGGAATTTGCTGGTTGAAGAAAAAGAGAAGAAATTACCATAGATAGATACGCTGTATGGTACACAGAAGGAAGGAAAGTAGGACATATGCTAGATCCAAATGTGCTACCATAGGTGAAAGCAATAATCGGTTTCCTGAAACTCATCTTCCTTCTCTGCTTTCACAGCTGCTAAGATGCAGTCATTTTATGTATGACCACTAGCTCAGCTAATCTACCCCAAATTTTTAATTAATTACACCACAGAATCTAATTACAAAAGTAAATTTCTCCATTTGCATTTGTCAAAGACGAACAAAGAACAAAAACAAGCTCCCTACCATACTCGGAACACAGATATTACACAGACAAAGCAATCTTTGTCTTCTCAAACCTACTTTGGAAAGTAGAAGGCATGAAGACAGAACAGCCAGAAGACACAGTAATTAGTATCACTCCCCAGAGTTTGTTACATGTTATATATTGTTTATATTGTACAGTTCTCAAATTCAATTAAGTAACACAGAATGACCAATAAACTACCTTCACTACCTCCGTAAGAATTGTTCTAAACCAAAAGGTGACTTAGCGATGGAATGGTATCTCAAAATCCTCTGTATAGAAGACATGACAGGAAGCAACACAAATGGGCAAAGATGGAAGATACAAGAGAAATTGCCAGGTGGATCTAATACTAGTTGCTGCAGAATCAGCTAAGTTCTGGCTTGGAAGAGCAGAGAAACATTAATTACTACCTTTGATTGAACCATTCTCCCCAGTCCTGCAAATAAGCATATCTTGTCCAAACTAAGTAAGATTTCTTCAGATGTTCCTTTGTACCAACGCTCTGTGGACACTTTAGTAGTGGTGCTTCTTCAGCTATCAAGTGACTTAAGTAAGAAAATATATTTTGGGGGAATTTGTATATGCTATTTAGCAAGACTCCCCTCTTCTTCCCTGCCCACTCCCTTTTTTTACACCAAGGAAAGCTAAAATTTAATTCAGACAAGTGGATGCTGAGATGCAGATATCCATACAAGAAGGTTTAACAGACTCGCAGAGTAATACTGAAGTTACATTAGCCTATATTGTACTACTTAAGATAAAAATATGAGCACCTTTTTAAGAGGTGTTGGTCTCTTTGCTTTAGGGACTTCTCTCTGTTTCCCTTTCTTCACCAAAGGAGCGCTGGAATCCAAAGGGTTATGAGGCATCTTTCCTTGGTTTAACCGGTGACTTTTTGTGGCTGTAGCAGGTTCTTTAGAAAGCAATGGTATGGCACCACCAACTGAGATAAAAAACCAAAATGTCTGCATCAGACAACAGTAACAAATACCTAAACTAGAATCCAATGCAAGTTTAATGACTGGATTAGGACTACTATACACATACTAAATTTGTGTTGTGTTGCTATTATTTAGAGCGAATCCTGTGTCATTAAACAATGTTATTTAGTAAAGATTCTCATCCCAAAAGACTGACATGTCCTCTACTTTTATTATACAACTAGAATCACAACCTCTGTCCCTGAACTCTCAAAAGCAGAATTTGGCAAAACACTGCACTCCAAGCTACCTTCAACACCATGCCATGCCAGCTTGGTAAACCTTAAGGAATCTCCATGTTTCATGGAAATGGCATTTCCTCCTCCACAGGTTCTGCACTGCGTTAAGATAAATACTGAATTGCACTATTACAGATTTTAGATTTAATTGCTGTAATAATCTGGAGCACTTACTCCTACCGTTTGTTACACCTTAATGAATCTGGATGAAGTTTATTTGCAGATGGGTAAATAGTAATCCAAAGCTACAGCTAAGTCTCTTTTGCTTAACTAGCACAGCTCTCAGCTGATGTCTACTTGCATTTTTCAGAGGGTTTAGAGCATAGAGGCTTTAAATGAGTGGCCAAGGCACTCAACCTGGACCTTCCAAACCATCACCTCACACCCTAAAAACTACTCTCTATTTTCAACTCGCTATCAATAGGAATTGGTGTATCCTGTGAGAAAACTTTGTCAAGCTTCAGTTACCTGCAATATAAGGTCACATTAGCAAGTCAGTGAAGAGAATGACGTAAGTATCAGTGGAATGAGCTTGACACCTTTGTGACTCAGGCAACCTATCTCCCCTAAAAAACAGCCAAAGCTTCTGGCAGCTTGTCTTAAGCCATCTTCATTTACTGCTTCCAAAGTATTTATAAGCTGATCCTCCAACACCACATAAAGTACTATCAGCATAAACAGTTTACTTCATAAGAGCTGCTACACCACAACCTTTCTTTTTTGGCTCTGTGTAACAAAGGCAAATTGAGAACACTGTCACAAACATTGTGCAGTATGTTAACATAGGTGACTACAAGAATTGAAGCTGGATTTGAAGCAATACATAAATATACATCCTGCAGACACATGATATTTCATTCACTGTGTACATCACCTCTTCATTTCAAATTCACACAGCTCTCACATTCCTGAACTTGATGGCTTTAACAGTTTGTGTCATTTTGCATGACTGATGCATTTCCAAAATGTAATTTAAACTCAAATAATTACTGCTTCAATTAATTCAAATTACTTCAACTTATTAAAATAATTTCTCTTCTGCAGCAGATTCAGACACAGGCAATTTAGGATGAGAAAGCAGGTATTGTGACCCTGTTGTGGTTTCACCCCTGCAAGCAACTCAGTATCATGCAGCCGCTCACTCACTCCTTCCACTCCCAGTCCTGGTGGGATGGGGAGGAGAATCGGAAAAAGGAAAAACCCGTGGTTTGAGATAAGAACAGTTTAATAACTGAAATAAAGTCAGTAATAAAAATAATAATAATAATTTTATTACAATTGTAATGAAAAAGGAGATAACAGAGAGAGCAAATAAAAAAACAGACAAGTGATGCACAGTACAGTTGCTCACCACCCACTGACCGATGCCCAGCCCGACCCCAAGCAGTGATCGGCCCCTCCCAGCCAACTCCCCCAGTTTATATACTGGGTATGACATTCTGTGGTATGGATTATCCCTTGGGCTAGTTTGGGTCAGCTGTCCTGGCTGTGCTCCCTCCCAGCTTCTTGTGCACCTGCTTGCTGGCAGAGCACGGGAAAAGGAAAAATCCTTAACTTAGGACAGGCACTACTGAGCAACTAAAACATCAGTGTAGTATCAATATTATTCTCAGAATAAATCCGAAAAACACAGCACTGTATCAGCTACTAGGAAGAAAATGAATTCTACCCCGGCAGAAATCAGGACAGACCCGTATCTCTGTGCTCCACCATCTACAATCCATGCACTGTACAATTTTACAGAAACAAAACTTGTTATTAGCACCTCTGCAGCACTGAGTTTGACTGACTCAAATGAAAAAAAGGTATCAATTGCAGAAAAATTTAAAGAAACATCTTACAAGTTCTCAGTTAGCGAAGGAAAATCTCATAGATGTTTAATATTTTGAGCTTTTTATTTAAAAGCTCAGCTATGATATTAAAACATTGTGAGATGAATTCTCTCGTTATTAGCTCTCTTTCTGAAGCAAGTTTTAAAAAAATTCTTTACTGAAATAAAGAGAGAAATTTTATTATCGTTAAATTCTAGCAAATATCATGCCTCCTTTTGCAAAATATACTGCACTAACATAGCCAAGACAGAATTTTGACCTACAATGAAAAAGACACAGAGCTATTTGTTTCTGCTTCCTGGTTATGCATCCACAAGGTCTGAAAGATTCTCTCCATCACCAAACCCTGGCATTTTGTTAGCAGCAATTATTTCACAATTATCAGGTGTGGCAGAACTCATCCTTTGGCTTGGGCTGACTGACTCTCATATAACCCCCTTGTTTGCAAAGAAACATTTTAATTTAAGTTACAGCTCTAGGATTCCTAGCATCAGAGGCGCTTAAGAAAACCTTTGTTACTGTGCAGCCCCTTCCTGCAGGTCCAGATCACAAGAGTAACACAGGTATTTAAGACAAAGCAAAAATCTCCACAAACATTAGCATTTTCATCAAAGCTAAATTTCAATCACCTCTCATTTATATAAAAGTATTCTTTTACAAATCATCGTCCCGAAGATTTTCCTTTCCCCAAGTCTTTCTCCAAAAAATTCAGATTGCCGTCCTTTTTTTTTTTTTTTAAAAAAAAGAATCTTCATTTTTTCTTGTATCTTGTCAACTGTGCTCCTGCCTGCATATTCAGAGATCATTACAGATCAGAAAACAGGCTACATTTAACATTTGAATACTTAAAAACAACTGAAGCTGAAAGAAAGGAAATTTCATTGTAACCAATACCTGAAAACACCACAGGTTTAGAAGACTGTTTGGACTTCTCTGTTTGCTGCTTCTGCTCCAAGACTGCCAGCATGCCACCCAAATCCAACTGCACAGGAATTTGACTCTTCTTACTACTGCTCCTGGATATTTCCTGAACAAGTTCAGTACCAATTAGCAATGCTCTCCATTTTAGAATATAAAGACTATTATTTTGTACGGTGTGTAACACAGTCTTAACATCTTCATCCACAATACTGTCGATGTTTAACTCGATTCAATGAAAGTATTTTGATCTTTAAATACACATCAACTTTAATGTGAAAAATAAAAAAATCATAAAACAGTTCAAATAACTTTTTAATAGCTACTGGAATAAAGCATAGAATTATCAAGTCTTTATTAAAGGAGGTGCTTTATGTCAGGCTCCCACTTTGGTCAGACTGCCACCTAACTTTGAAAAAGAAAAAAGGCTTACCAGAATTTAAAGTTTTGTTAAAAGTACACAAAAACTACTCTGTGAATCTTCCAGGGTATGTGACTACAATACACATACACTATTATCTTTAATGTCTTATTAAAAGGAGAGGTCATCATCTTTAAGCACCACCTCCTCACAAGCACTAGCCTTTCTGTCTGCTTTGAAGAGCAGGCAAAAGCAGTGTCCCACCTTTGGCACCACATTTAATGATTCAGAACATAAAGAGACTACAAATTAATAGTCTAGCAAAGACTACAAAAAGGAAAACCAAGACAGCAGAAATTGCTATGGAAATGATTCACAGATTTTGCACTTTTAGAAGTCTTACCCTAGAGGATCAATTCACTATAGCTTCTGTTCCAAAGGGTTAAGGAATGTGACCTCCTCCTTCTGAGCCTAGGATCTCATCTTGCGTCAGAGCTATGCCAGAACCTACTCACCAACACGGAACTACTTACTGACCCCACTGCTGCTCTGTATTTCTCCTCCTTGCCCCAAGCAAAGTGGATCTCCTTGCCTCCTTGTCTTACTCTGGCAGAACCACTTTTAAGAGGTTCCCAACTCCTTAAGACAATTAGTTTGGACTGGATTTATGCCATGATCAAATAAGATAGGTGAAAGAAAAATTCCTGATATCTGAAAGTCGCAGACATTGATGAGAAGCTAGTATTTTTCCCTAAACACTGTATCACAAACTGGAGGCTGGCAATTACTAGCGCTGAGTGCTTATAATCAAGATAATCTTGTCACCGATTTCAAAGTACGACTGACAAAGTACAAATACAATCGCAGATGAGCTTGGACTTAGTCTTGTACTTAAATGTGCTAATTTCCTTTGTCATTTTAAGCTGTAAATTTCTTTTCAAACATAAATTCATTTACCTGCATTTTCTTTCTTTCTAATACAGATGATGAAGCTTGCTTCCCTGACAGTCCATCCACCTTGGGAGTTCCATCCACTGTGGGAGATCGACTATCCCAAGGCTCTTCAGGGAGACAGATCTTTGAAGTTGAGAGACAAAAGGTGACAAGGGGGAAAGGAAAATATTTAAAAGACACATGGAAAAGGGTAAAGTGAAGAATGATATTAAATTCAAATGGAACACAGACAGTGGGATTAAGTGTACTCTTAGTAAGTTTGTGAATGACACCAAGCCGAGTAGTACAGTTGATAAGCTTCTGGGAAGAGATGCCATCCAAAGGGACCTTGACAGGCTTGAGGAACCTCACGGAGTTCAACAAGGTCAAGTGCAAGGTTCTCAACCTGGGCTGGGGCAATCCCCAGTATCATTACAGACAGGGGGATGAAAGGATGAGAGCAACCCTGCAGAGAAGGACTTGGGGGTACTAGTGGATGAAAAACTGGACAGGAGCCAGCAATGTGCGCTTGCAGCCCAGAAAGCCCAGAAAGTTCTATCCTGGGCTGTGTAAAAAGAAGCGTGGCCAGCGGGTCGAGGGAGGTGATTCTCTCCCTCTACTTCGCTCTGGCGTGTCCCAGCCTGGAGTCCTGTGTGCAGTTCTCGGGTTCCTAGCACAAGAAAGACATGGACCTGTTACAGCAGGTCCAGAAGAGGCCAACAAAAACGGTCAGAGGGCTGGAACAGCTCTCCTATGAAGACAGGTTGTGACAGTCAGGGCTGTTCAGCGTAGAGAACAGAAGGCTCTGTGGCCTTCTAAAAGTGCCATCATTTACTGGCTGCCATACTACTTAATTAGATTCATGATTTCCTTATTTTTTTTCAGATTTGGAAGAAAAACAACAGCAAGGCAGCTTCATCTTTAAATATTTGTTACAGAGGACTACGAGTGGCTTAACGATCACAGGTCACTACCACCTGCATAAGCTTTGAGAGGTTGTATCACACTTACACCTACAAAGCTAAAAGGTTTCTCTCATTTGAGGTGCAAGTTTGATTAGCACTCTGTTTGTATCAAACCTGGCTTGAGCAATTACTGTGTCATTTGCTGCTCACTCCCCCGTGTCAATACAATTTACTGCCTCAAACAAAGCAAGCAAGGGTTTTGGGGGTTTTGTGGTGTTTCTTTTTTTTCTTAAACTACTAATATTCACAGTGAAGCAACACCAAGGACAAAAATTTCTAGCAGCAAAACTAGTTCCAAAGAAACAGAAACCTAAAATTTCACCTTTATGTTATTTGCATTTCCAGAGCAATCATATTTCCAATTCTTGTGATTTATGTTTGAAATTCATTCCCATATTGAATGAATTTCCAAGTCAATCCTTGGGATTTATTTCACTCGTGAAAAAAAAAAATAGCTTGGATTTATCATTGATGTTAGACTCAAGTTCTTACCCTTGCACAGCTTGAGAACACAGTGTCACACTGTTCAGATGCCCTTGAAATTTGGTTATATGAACAAACAGCAAAGGCAGAAATTGAAAGGGTCTTAGTATTCCTCTTACAAAATGCAAGATCAAACTAGAACACTACCTGTAGGATAATAAACTACATAAACACAATTCATCTCAACTGACTTCCAGTGTCCACAACAGACGTGTCTATATCAGGATCAGTATCCAAGAGTTTAGATAACAGTTCAGAAACCAAAAAGGTATCTCCTTTTGAATGATATGAGTCTACTGAAAACAGTGAGTAGCTCTTCACTGTCCAGAGAGTACCTAAGAGGATTGCCATGGGCAGAGCTCCCCATCATAAGCACCTACGTTTCGTCAAAAGAATTCCCCCTTTAGTCTCATTTTAATCTTGCAGTGTTTTCCTGCTTGTTTTCTTAATGTTCACATAATGTCGTAAGACTACTTACTTCAGACTGCTTTCTGACAGCAGCAGTAAATGACGATTTTTGAGATCCTAGTCTGTTTCTCCTATCAGAAGCAGATGCCAGATCAGGAAACTCCTCAGCATCCTAAACAAGTAAATCAGAAGATCATTTCATAAGAACTATCAAGTCCATATTCTCAAAACTGATTTTCCTACATTCAAACAATTTTCTCCCTGCTTATCAAACATTCATCATAATTTGTTTCACTGTACAAAAATTCAAAAGCCAAGCACAGTGCCTGTCACCAACCATAATCGGCACTACAATAGTTAAGTCATCCATGTAGCAGCTAATTCAGGGCTGAAAGAGCTCACAAGAGAAATGCTTCCAACACCAACATGTTGTTGCTGTCAGCTGATACAAATAATTAGAGGTAAATGGCGCCTAAAGGAGCGTTTTTCAGATCATTTAACAGCCTTGCAAACAACTTCCGTCTTCTTCCAGTATAGTCTCCAGCTGTGCAATTCTGCCTTAAACATGTGAGTGGTGAAGAACAAAAAAGGGCAGGCAAAAGGGTAATAACTCTTGACTACAGTATGGAAATACACAGATAAATCACTCAAGTGATTATGTAGGCTTAGACACAAGAGTAAATTTTATTAGCAGAGGATACACTATCCAGATTCTGGATTAACTAACTGCAGACAGGCTGGAGCTTGCTTTACACTGGTCACCTTATATCCACTATCTCTCTCATAATGATCCTGATCCACCAGCTCGGTTTTCATTCTATTGCTTCTCCTCCCACTTTCTGAGCGGCCGTTTTAGCTGGGATACGATACTACTGAACATACCAACACTTCTTCTGGAGCCCAAAAGACTTCATTTAAACAGCCCAAGCTAGGAAACTCTAGTATAAGGACAGACACACCTCACTCAATGAACTATTTTCCAAGAATCCTGGAAATATGCCAAAAGATGACGGCAGGAAAGAGAAAAATGTTTCACATACACACACTTGCAGCTTAGGGACATCTTGAACCAGAGGTAGTACCTTCACATTTAAATAGCCCTCACTAGAATAAATTTTTATTTCAGTCTGTCCAATCACTTCTTGAATTCAAATAAATTTCTGGCATTTGCAATATCCTGTAGCAAAATGAATAATTAAAATCTAGCACTCAGTGTGATGTTACACCTCTTTGTATTTGCTCTTAACTCATCACCTGTAAGAACCAGAGGACATCAAAGTTAGGATAAAGATCAAATAATTTCCTTTTACTTCCTTGTCACTTCTGATTGCCACTTAGCCATGTCTTTTACAGACTGAGAAGTCCTAGTTTATTCTGTCTTGCCTCCCATAGAAATTGCTTCATACCTTTGATTATTTTTAGAGTCTTTTGTCTATCTTTTTTAGTTCAAGTATGCATATTTTTTTAAGGAGTGGGGGAAACACAAGAAAACAAAATCAATGCTATATTTAGATCAGACACATCCTGGATTTACGTATTGTCATAACCCATTTTATTTTCTGTTTTCCTAATGATGCCCAGTACTGTTTGCATGTTTGATCAGTACTAACAACACTGACCTGATTATAAATAGCAGCTTCAATTTTTTTCGCCTCAGGGAAAATACCTAGCTCAGGGCCTATCACTGTCTATAGAAAAAATAGGATTACTTTTCCCAAAATGCATCCATTTATGCTCATGAACAGTGTCTATAAATGAGTGACTTTCATAAAACTAGTAAGCAATCAAACATATTGCTCTGGTGAGCTGCTGCACATAGCAGAACCTTCTTAAATCTCCCGGGTGCCCAGAAATTCCGTGTGTATGATCCTCTCATGCTTTTCTATTTCAAGAGCATCATACAAGCCTCTCGCCCATTTTGCAAACTGATAAGCACACAAGCATCCACAGCAAGCCAGGAGAGTCTGAAAGCTGTTCCCCAATGCCATAACAGATGCCGCATCCACATCACGGATTTCAGTGCAACACATATATCATGTTCCATGATTAGATGTCATTTTTTTCCATTTTTGTCTCCAATAGTTCCATTACTTTCCTACTATTTTCCAATACTCCTGCCATTCTCTTTCTGTCAGATGACATGTCATTCGCAGGTCAGACATCATATGGTAGCATATAGTAAAAAATGGGTATGTTCTCATGAGCGAATGAACCTGTAGATCTTTGATTCTACCCATAATACTTTAACAAAGATGTCTGTAAACAGTAATTTCTTGTGCCATTCCAGGACAATGAACCGCACAATGAAAAGAACATGTAGTCGCAGTTCTGCTCCATGTTTCATGTTAAAATGTACAGAACAGAAGCCAGCCAGGAAAGCTTCTTTATGCTGTCATTTCACAAACTGAACATTATGCACAATAGATCAAACATATAAATCAACACATCTACATAGTGCTGTACAATACTGAGCTTTCAATGAAGCACTCTTAAAGCATGGACCATACTACAATTCTTTAATGCATGAGAGTCTAAAGCCTTCAGAACACTGATACACAACAGTATCACAATACTACAGCTATATTAATTTGAAAAAAACCTGGAATTAACAAACAGGAATGTAAGCAGTGACAACTGTGTTAGAAAGAAATTGTTTCCAGATGACAGATGGATAGAATTGTAATACTAGCACCACATTCTTTAAAACTCTGGCACACTGTGCTACCCAGTACACTCCCCATCCTTTGTGCACTTTACCACAGAGTACTATCAATTTAGGAAATTTGAATTTTATTGTTATCTATTAACATCCAGATTCTTAGATGCATCATTCCAAATTTGCTCCTAAGTCTGTTCTGTACTCCTCTGTGCCCACCGAATACATGATGAGTCAAAAAGCACAACTGTTCCCTACCAGTAACTTCTGACAAACTTCTCACCTGACATGGACCTTAATCAATATCCTCAACAAATGCAACTTCAACTTAAATTTGTACAAAGCTATGTTAACATATTGTCTTCCAATACACTCATAACACTGAAAAGAACAGCAACAAAAACCTCTGCACTGTACCTCAATCCTTGGTGGTTCCTGTACTGTAGTAGATTCATTTTGAGGTTTCTCTACATCAGTGGGTGACTTTGCTTTTTTCTTCTTTTTCTTCTTTTTTTTCTTCTTCTCCATCCCTTCTTCAAGCTCAGTTTCACTGGCGTCATTTTTTGTTTCTGACTGCTGAAAAAAATCATGAGGCATGACCACTAGAAATGGATTTATTTCAATACCACCTACCAAAATAAATGAAAGTGACCACACTTATACAACTCAAGGATATCTTAATCAATCCAGGCTAGGACATTAAGTGGACAAGGAAAATTCAAGATCTCTTAGAAATTCAGAGCTACTGCGAAAACTCTTCACTTGAAGCGCATTGTATGGTTATCAGAACGTATTGGGACTACTGGGATTTCAATAGGAAATATCCACCCAAACAAAGCAAGAGTTCCATGTTTCGTGTCTCATTCTGAGGGTCAGGAATTTGAAAATAGTCCAGCCTAAAACTTGGAAGTTCGTGTTGCTGGAGTAGCAGTGTCTTTTTGCCATCTTTTTATTCTTTTCCACTACAAGAGAAGAAAAATTCTAATAAGGACAAGGTAACTTTATATTACTTCTTAAAAGCTGCATTAGAAGCAGACACTGTACACAGCCTAGGAAAAAAATGGCAATGTCTCACATCAGGACACACAATCACAAGAGACAGAAAATAGTTTAGAGCAGACAATCCTCAAGTACCTTTGCTTCACTATGCTGCTTCCCTTTGCCTCTGGAAAGACCTTCGGATGCTGGTGATGACACAATTTTCTTTGGGGGCTGTGAAAGTACCATGGCCCAAGACACATGTGGCTGAGCAGAGCCATCTGTAGGTGTTTCAGGAAATGCCGTTGGGAAAAAAAGTGATATAAGATGTCTCAGAAATATCTCTCAAATATTCAAAAGAAAAAGGATCAGGAATGAATTAATCAAGGACTAGCAAATACAGCAGCTAGCCATATTCCTTCTGATGAAGGACTGAAATAAGACACTCACACATTTTATTTCTCTAGAAAGCTCTCTAGAATTATAACTAGTCCATATATTGTCCAGCATTATATACATACATTCAGCTCAATGAAATTGTAATTGGAAATCTACACTGTGTCATACTAAATACATACAAATAATTCCAAGCTCATTTTCTACTATTTTTCTTAAAAATAATGAACTTCTGCTGTATTTATATACAAAATTTCTTTAATATTTATCCCACTCAGTCACACAGCTTTCACGTACAAGGCCACATCAGTATTTTCTACTTTCTAAAAACTTTGCAGTTTTACAGACATATGTACCAGCTGAAAGACTTCCTAATGTGCCTCAGTGTACAAGAATTTCACTCACTACCACTCAGAGGTACCAATGATTGAAAGCATCACACTTAGGTTTTATAAACACTTCTAACACACAGCAAACACAAAACAAAAGATAGATTTTTCTTTAAGAATGAGAAAAACTTTCACTGAACAATTAAACAGCATAATGGGTTTACATGGCAAGGTTTTGGTAGTGAGGGGAGGCTGCAGTGGTGGCCTCTGTGAGAAGATGAGACACTGCCAGCCTGAGCTGGCTCCAAGAGAGACCCACCGCCAGCTCGAGCTCGCTCCAAAACAGACCCACCGCCAGACACAGCTGAGCTGATCAGCGATGCTGGTGGCACCTGGGTGATAATATATTTAAGAAGGAATAAAAAACACTGTGCAGGAGTTGTAAGAGGGAGGGATAAGAAAAAATGTGAGAGAATCAGCTCTGCAAACACCAAGGCCAGTGAAGCGGGGGGCGGGAGGGAGGTGCTCCAGGTGCCAGAGCAGAGACTCTCCATCAGCCCCTGGAGAAGACCATGGTGGAGCAGGATGTTCCCACTGCAGCCCTGCAGAGGAAGGAGCCGCAGAGAGGAGCTAATACAAGCTGACTGAAACCCCCCACCACCCTGTGCCGCTTGAGGCAGAGAGGAGGTAGAAGAGTCAGGAACAAAGGAGTGAAGATGAGCCTGGGAAGAAGAGAGGGTGAGGGGAAAGTGGTTCTAGTTTTGGTTTTGTTTCTCACCATCCAACCCTATTTTTAATTGGCAACAAATTAATCTTCACCAAGTCCGCTTTGACCATGATGGGCAACTAGTGAGCAATCTCGCTGTCCTTATCTTGTTCCACAGGCTTTTTTATCTTATTTTCTCCTCATGTCCTGCTGAGGAGCAAGAGCGAAAGAGCAGCTGGGTGGGAGTCTGGCCGCCAGCCAAGGTCAACTCACCACAAACTGCTACTTTATTTTGGGAGATAAGAACCAAGGATAATGTTTGAAGAAAAAACATTATCAGATGACTTTAAAGTCTCTGGAATTACTTCACCTTTAGAGGGTCCTTCAAGGCACTTCAGCAGATTAACCTGCCCTTTCTGAATCCTTACTGAAGTCAGTGGGAAGATAAGGACTGAACTGTCCAGAGTGGTGTGTATCTGCATATACACAGAAATGCAGTGCAAGGCACTTGGACAATTCAATGCATAATGCATGTGACGCCTCCAAGACAGAAATGAACAGAACCTTTTTTCAAACAATTCTGGGCTTAAGTATTTCAATTAAATTAAAATACTTACTGGTCATCTCATTTAAAAGAAACTGATATGGTTTTATTTGTTTGGTTTTCTTCTTTGGTAATGAGCTTGCTGTTTAACTCCTTCTTTACTTTACACATCAACAGCTCCTCAGAACACTTAAGTTTTCCAAATTGATGAGATGCAAGCAGTTAAAATACACGCAAATAATTTGTGTCTGGAGCACTTACCTCTACCATCAAATGAAGAGGGAATCAAGCCGGCTACTGCTTCATCTAAAGTTTTTGACGAAGTTTTGCTTTCCACAGAAGTATCTACCTGTAAAATAGACAGTCAGGTGTCATAAAAGTAGGATTAAAATCACTGACCTAAACAGAGTTAAACATAAAAAAACCCCATAAATTAAAAAATTCTCAACTTGTGCACAGATAAAGGTGTAG